GCGCCCGCACTTTTCCCGGCTGACGGCTGCAGCGGGCTCAGCGGGAAGCCCCAGCGCTGCCCGGCTCGCCGCCTCCGAACGGCTCCATTGTGACGCGGCGCGTTCCGCCGGCCAATCGGGGCGCGGCGGCGCGAACCGCTGACTAAGTTCGCGAAGGAGGAGGAGGGGACTGGGCGGAGGCTGGGGGCGGAGGCCGCGGGGTGGCGGTGGCAGTGGCAGAGGCGGAGGAGGAGGAAGAGGAGAAAGAGGCTGCGGCTGCTCGTGTAGCTGCTGTTGCTGCTGGTGCTCCTTTTGCAGCGGCCTTGGCCTGCGGGTTTGTCCAGCTTCGAGACTGCGGGGGCCGGTGACTCACCCCTCGCTGGTGGAAACAAAGCCCAGCTGCCATCACACAGGAGCGCGCCATGTGGCCGCCACGGCGGGCTCGCCTTAGCCTGCGGACCGCAGGCAGCCGTGCACACTGCTACAATCTGGGGGGGGGGGGGGGGCAGCTAGAAAGAGGGGGTGGGGGGCGGGGAGGGCTGGTGTTTGAGACCGGTGAGACAGGAGCTCAGGTTTGTCCACCAGGCACGGCATGCAAAGGACTTTGGAAGTAGAGTATTTATATGTCCGCCCCCCCATCCTCCGCCTTCCGCGGGTGCACCCCTGGAGTAAGTTGTTTACATAACATGGGCTGGGCCCTAAGGAAAGACTTGGGCCAGCCACGAGGGAGGCTGCTTCTTGCTCTCACAAGTACCTTGACCTTTCTGTACAAGCACACTCAGAAAGGCTGCAGGGCCGGCCTCTGTGTGGGAGAGAGTTGATAGTTGTATCAAACTAAGCCGCATAAGTTAGGATTCTGGGCCTCCAGTATCACGCATCTCTCATTTGTTCTTATTCTCAGATGGCGATGACATGCCACACAGCAGTGGGGGGTCAGCCTCTGCTCATAACTGGTGCATATTGCTAATGATGCTAATGATTCATGCCATCTCCTGCCCCCTCGCGTCTCCCCTTCTGTAAAGTGATCCTGTGCTTGAGAAGTAGCAGTGTCCTTACAAAACAAGCAAAAAATGAATTCAAACCCAGGACGGTCAGGTGACTCCTCATTCACCTCCTAGTCTCATCCTCACCCCGATTTGACTCAGTCTTGCACAATCATGTCCAAAACAATGATTCAACGAAGCAACATTTATATCTCTGAGTTGCTATGGCAATCACATTCTCATTTTTAAAAAATGTTTGTACAGGGACCTCTCAAAGGAATAAAATGAAGATTGTACAAGACTACCCACTTGGGGTATCGGATCGATTTTTGTAAATCGGTGTAGAGAAAATGGAAGAACAGAGTTCTACAAATTGAGTGTTGTCCCACGGAGACCGTGAAGATTAAGACCACCATTTGAGGCTGAAAAAGGCTGGAAGAGCATTCCTTCATTTGGTCACTCAGAGTTTTTATTGTGCACATGTGTGAGACACTGTATGTACGGATCTATGAGATTTGGTTTGGTCCTCAAACTGCGTACCACGTTGAGAAGATAAAAAAATATACCAGAATTAAATATGAAACAAGGAAAAAAAGAATGTTCTAAGAGATACTAATGGTAAAGTTATAACATTAAAAATGAAAAATATCTGATTTTCCACATGTATCTGAATATTTGGAAACAATGTTCTCCTAAATCTATGAGCAGAAAATGAATTCTTCTATTACAGCAATATCACAACCTGTGTGACTTAAGGTAGTGTGTTTTCTTTCTTAATACAAAGAAATTGACTTCTGTTAGGTGGGGAAGCAGAATGCTTAGTACATTCCAATATATTTTTTTAAGATTTATTTATTTATACATACAGAACTGGAGTACAGTCCAGAGGTGCAGGGGTGGTGAGAGGCTTCATTGGAGACAGAGTGAGGAGCAGAACAGGCTGACTGTTGAGGTATACTGCTGAGGGGAGCAGCGGGTGGGTCAGGAGAGATCTGCTGAGCCATGTGGGTCACCTCCAGGGTCAGGGCTCCAACTCATACTGAAGTGGTGTTAGCTTCTTAGTGCTGCATTTAACTGCTGTGCCACCTGGGAGGGCCCAGAACATTCAATATTAAACAGTCTTCTATGATAATTGCCTAACCTCTTTGGGAGCCAACATCTCCATGTATAAAATAACAGGTGATAAGCCAAATGAGCTGTAAACTTCCAACTCCAATGATGGAATCATAAAAAAAAAGGTGTCATCAAGGTTTGGCAACCTAAGATTAGCAGGAAGTTAAAATCATCTGTTAGCTGTGGTTAATCTCAGAAATGTAGCCTATAAATATGTTTTATTTCAATTTTCATGAACAAAATAACCTGCCATGGTGACAATATTTATTAGACAGGAAAAGTGGCCTTTTGAATTTGAGATATTGCATTCAGGAATTCTCTGAAAAATCAGTTTTCTCTTGTTTCTTCTTCCTTCCATGAGACCTTATGTAAGCTCCTGCTTGCACTGCAGTGAATAAAAAGATGAATAACTTCAAAGGCTGTTCTAGAAGAACTTTAATATTATGCATATGATACAGACTCATAAAAAGAGAGAGACTATTTAATAACTAGAAATTATTGGCCTCCAAAGACAGGCCTTATCATGAACAATATAAATACTGCTTGACTTCTTAATTCCTGTACCCAGTTTTTCTAGTGTGTCGTAATCTCTTTGATTACAATGGAGTCCTGGAATATGTTCAGTCAGTACAGGAGTAGCTGAAATTCTCTAAGGGTCCTCTCATTAATTTATTTTGGCAGAAGAAAATTCTAAAAGACTCAGTCACTATTCCCACAGTCAAATTAATCAGTCTGAAGTAGTGGTCAAAAATTCCATCATATATGGAAACAACCCAAGTGCCCCCAAAGTAAATGAATGGATCAAAAAAGTGGTATCTTGGGCCCTCCCTGGTGGCACAGCGGGTTAAAGCATAGCACTAAGAAGCTTAAGCCACTTCTGCATGAGTTCCATCCCCACCTGCCCTGGAGGTGACCACATGGCGTGGCAGACCTCTCCTGACCTGCCCGCTGCTCCCCTCAGCAGTGTACTTCATCGATCTGCCTGTTCTGCTCCCCACTCTGTCTCTGGTGAATCCTCTCACCCTCCGCATCTCTGGCCTGTACCCCAGTTCTGTACGAATAAATAAATAAATCTTTTTTAAAAATTAAAAAAAAAATAATGTGGACCCTCCCTGGTGGCACAGTGGGTTAAAGCACAGCACTAAGAAGCCAAAACCACTCAGCATGAGTTCGATCCCCACCCTGGAAGTGACCCACATGGCGTGGCAGATCTCTCCTGACCCACCTGCTACTTCCCTCAGCAGTGTACTTCGTCAGTTGGCCTGTTCTGCTTCCTGCTCTGTTTCTGGTGAATCCTCTCACTCACCACACCTCTGGCCTGTCCCCCAGTTCTGTATGAATAAGTAAATAAATCTTTAAAAAGAAAAAAAGAATGTGCTACTTACACATAAATGAACAGATATGGTAATGCAGAGAGTGATAGAGAAAGCCTTTTGATGAGAACTATTGAAAGAGAAGGAGGATAGAAAAACTTAATGCTACACTTTGTTTTATCTACCCTAAATGCTTTCTTAACCCATGGCCCATTGACCCTCAGGACTCAGTCAATTTCTTTATGGTAAACTAAGAATTTCTAGAGAAGCAGGAGTAAAAATATTCTGCTTTCTACAAAATTTTATTGAGTAGAATTGTTAATGGTGTGGTCTTCATGTTTACATGTCAAATGGGATGACTATGAAGAGCAAAAGTCATTTTCCCTGTCTGATGATAAACAAATGCATAAATAATAGAACTGAAAGGGTCACTACAATTTGGTCATCTGGTGACTGAAGTCCCCTATATGAAGTAATCAACTAACTCTGGGGTTTGACAGGTCCCTTGGGGGGAAAAAAAATCTCTGAACAGTATCAACATTAAGCTGTTTTCCATGAATGCCTTGATAAGAGTTTAGTTTTCTGTATGTCTTTTTTTTTTCCCTAAGATTATTTATTTATGCATGCAAGAACTGGGGTACAGGCGAGAGGTGCAGGGGTGGTGAGAGGACTCACCAGAGACAGAGTGGGGAGCAGAACAAGCATATCAACTAAAATACACTGCTGAGGGGAGCAGCGAGCAAGACAGGAGAGGTCTGCTGTGCTATGTGGGTTACCTTCTGGCTGGGATTGAACTCGTGCTGCAGGGGCTGCAGATAGCTTCATAGTGCTGTGCTTTAGAATGGCTCATACCTCTGGGGTGGCGCCCAGCTCCCTGAATGTCTTAAGAACATTTTTATGATTATGGAAATCAGAATAATAGCCAATATTAGCAGTTCTTTTTCAATTGAGTATTCTAAAAATGATTTATGATAATTAAAAAAATTTACTTAAATGAATTAAACATTAAATGTCTACAGTATATAAAAGAAAGCACCAGAGATCTGACAGAAGATCTCTGTCAGATTTCACCACTAAAAGATATGTACTTAAGTGGAAAAGCTGCATTCAATAGCATACAGCCTCGAAACAGGGAGGGGGCAGGGGGTGATGCAGGAGAATCATATTGAATATGGAACTGAGGAAGATTGGCTAGCTTTAAGGTTCTAACTTGGAATATTACTTTTAAAATTGTCTCATATCATGATCCAAGTTTGTGAGTTCTACCAAAATGTCAGGTCAGAATAAAAGAACAAAAGTTTAAAGTCACTCAGTTTCACATTCTCAGAAAGTTTGCCAGAATCCGGCTACTTCAACTATGTGTTATTATGCACACTGACATTGTCAGAGAATTTTTATTTAATTCCAGATAAACATTCCACCATGTTTTTCTGACCTTTTCAATCTCCTGGTTGCAGTGCTTTATCATGAATTTGCCTTGGGTGTGGGGAAATGCTGAGAATGA